CCGCGCTCTGCCGCGTCCCGCCGCCGCCGCCGCCGGGTTTTCCTCTCCCACCACGTGGGCGCCCCCCGCGGCTCACGCCCCGCCGGCAGCGCCGCCCCGGCAGCTCCGCGCAGAAATCCGCCGGCGCGGAAACTTCAAGGCGGGTTCGCCGTCGTCTCTCGCGTCTTCCTCCGTGCCCTGCCTCTGCCGCCGAGCGGCGGCGTCGAGGGATCTTCCCAAACCGCCGAGGGGACAAGAGCGAATCCTGGAGCTTCAAAGCGAAAGCCAGGACTAGTGAGGAATTTCCAGTTTTAGTAAATCATCCACCTGTAATTAGGAAGTTCATGTTTGGAAAGCAATTCGCGGATGAAATATGCAAAGGACGGGAACGTCTAAGTGTTATTAAAATACTAGCCGAGCCAGATTTTAATGGGAGCTTGCAGTGTGCTTTGATGGGAACAGGATCCGTCTCCAAGCACGGGTTGAAATGAGATGTAAAAAATGGTTGTGGCGCTGATTTTCGTGGTGTGATTGAACTGCGAGGGTTCATGGACCTGTGCTTTTCTACATGGTTAAAAGGTATTATAATGGGTAAGGGGGGTAAATGCTTTAAAACCTGAAGGCTGATCTGTACCTTCTTGGGGATTTTGAGAGCCAATAAAATTGGTGTGACGCATGGAGAGGATTTTTGTGTGAATGAGGTTTGTGTCCCAGTCAGTGGAACAGAACAGAGTTATGGTATTTTAGCCTAACTACTGTAATTCTGCTGTTTGAAACAGTGACGATAGGGCACACAAAATAGTGAGTTAACAATTTTGCAGCCTAATCTCCTCCTTTCCCCTAAAGTACACAGGCTCAGTGTGGGCAGCTGCTGCTCGAGCTTTTCCTGTATTTACCTGGAAGGAATCATCCTAAGGAAGGCAGCCTGCCCTCTGCTCTGCCTGCGTAAAGCAGCTAATTACTGTGGTGGTTTTTGCCATGCAGCCTCCTGTCCTGTGAGGAAGTGGGCTGAGGGACCACCAAATGCCAGCATTCCTGAAGCTGCAGATCATGCGGATCACGCGCCTGCTGCTAATGTCCCTTTCCTGTATTATTGCAGGTCAAACAATTCCAAACCGATGTGGCCATTGCACATTGCAATAAGGGTATGCAACACAGGGGTGTTTGCAACAGGCTGAATTTTGCTTCCTGACCCCAGCCGCCTCACGTTAGAGTTGCCTGTCCCTGTCCAGTGGTAAAGTCTGTCACTGCTAAAGTCCTTTTGCTCTCCTTGTGTGTCAGAAGTGCTAGATTGCTATGCTGTCTCTCTATAGAAGAGAGAGAAACCTTCTATGTTTGCTGATGGAAGGTTATTCCTGAGCTGTGTAGTCTTTTTGTTCAGTATGTCGATTATGCCTAAAATCATCCTTTGCTCCAGGGCAGAGGAAGGTGGACCCAGCAATGGCAGTCCTGTAAGAGAACAAAATGGCCTTGACGAAGGCGGTTGTAAGGACTCTGGGGCAAACCCGACAGCTCACACTGCCCCAGAATGATAGGGTGTTGAACAGGAACGGGATGTGAGATTCAGTTTTGCCTCTGAAATGCCCAAGATAAAATAACTCCAGGAAAGTAGGAATAGAAAAGCCTTGTTGCTCTCATCATGCTGTCAGAAACTTGGAAATTCCTTGTTGTCTTCTGCAGAATCAGGTGCAGCAGAAGGGTTAATAAGCCAGTGAGAAATTGTCTGACTCCTTTACTGGTGGTTCCTTGCCTTTCCCATTTAGTTTTGATCTCCTTTTACATGTGTTTCCTATGGGAATGTCTGTACCTACTTTGTTCTGGCAAAGAACAATACAGGAAGAGCAGGGTGTGATGTGAAGAGACATCTTATGCTCCCCACAGGTCAAGCTGCTCCGACTTGTCTGACTGCCTGTATCTATCCAGCATCCCAGCCTGGCTTTGTGCAATGAAATTGGAAGGTGATCATTCCATCTTTCCTTGACCACATCTCTGTGTATGTAAAACTGGCTCTACCTCCCCAGTGAAGCCCCCAAGGCAGCATTGCCAGCGAGAGACAAAGATACTGGCCTTTTGGTTGGAGGCGGTAGGATTAAGATTAAGGAGACAAACCCTACTTTGGTAGGGTAAGCCTATCAGATGAGTATGTATATAATCTGTGGTTTAAAAGCTGGCATTAGAAATTTACATTGTTAGATCTCAAGTTTAGCCCACGGGAATTTTGTTTCAGGCTGTCTGCAGACTCAGGAAACTGCCACCAAAGCTTCAATAGTTTGAGAGCTTAAGCACGTAAGCACCTATCTGAAGCAAATTTGGGCCCTGATGAATCCCAAAAGGCAACTGAATGCATGCAACCCTTTGCCTTTCCTCCAAGGATCTTAAAATATCCTGCAAAGGGAGGTAGTGTTATTATCTTATTTTTACAGATAAGAATGCTATGGCATAAAGGAGTCAAGTGCCTTGCCTAAGGTTATATAGCAAGACAGTAGCAATGTCACAAAGCAAATCAGGTTCCTTCACTCTGGTGCCATTAGTCACTGAACTTGGCTGCCTAGTGCTCTGCCTCCTTCATCTCCTTCTTTTAATTATTCCATGAGAAAGGGAGATGAGGGAGGGAGTGTGCATTAGTTCAACAACTACGGAGGGTGATAAAATGAAAGTGCAAACTCAGCAGTATATTCTGTATCTCCGTGAGGCAATAGGAGGCAGTGGCATTACAGCCTGCTTCAGACGTCTCCTGCCTGGTGAAGGCAAATCTCCTCCTTCAGTTGACTATGCCTGCAGACCTGCAAGCCTCAACAGTGACCTGCAGGGCTCTGTCATTAAAATAGCAAATTGGAGGGAAGGACAGTTGTTCCTCCCTTCACTCCCTTCCCACCAGAGCAATGATATATGAGACCTTCTATAATTTCTGAAACAAGCATACCACACAATCTAAAGCTTAAAATGTAAGAAACGTGATTTTCTGTAATCCAGAGGCTGTTGCTATACCGCTGTATCAATGCACAGCTGTCAGCAGGCTCTGCTTCTGAAGCACAAGCTTCCTTGACAAAATGCTATCCAGAACATCACTGCGTGGCATCTTTTCTTTGATTTATTTTATTCATTGCAAAAATTCAAAGTTGATGATGCTCTTAACAGTTGCCTAACCTCTAAAAGAAGACTTACGAGCTCAACATTTTAGGCTGTATTGAGAAGTCCGAGCTCAGGTATGGACTAGTTTTATTTTTACCCACTGCAGAAGAATTACAAGGCCGAGTGTTGGGAAATCAGCTGTATTGTGGCATTTCACATGAAGTTCTTTCTCTTCCTTCCTTTTCATTGAGGTATGCAAGTAAATTACCAAGTCTTTTGTGATAAGAACAGCATATCCCATTATAGGGTTGGATAGTGAGGTGTCTGTTTTGTTTCTTCTTTTTTTTTTGAGGCGAGCTACCAGAATGAAATTGCAGCCCTGATATTTTTAATAAATAAAATGATGCAAGACTTTATCTTGAATACTTTGAATCTAAAACAAATTAATGGAAATGGACTTCCTGTTTCTATAATTCATACAGCAGGAAAGTGGAGGCAGTCATAAAAAATTGTATTTGAGACACAGAATCAATTTATTTCAGAAGTATTTAAGCCGAAAAAGTGTAGGGATTCGGATTCGGGGTATTTTTCTGTTTTTCCACAGTAAAGTTGCTTTTACTTTTTAGATCACTCTCAGGGCAAGTTATTTATTTTTCCTGAGGTTACAGTTCAAAAGAATACAGTCTAATTGAGATGAGTAAAGGCAGGCTGCGACTGGTAATCTATTGAGCCATCACTGTCTAGAGAAGTTTTTCTTTGTTGTGATGCTGAACACCAACGCTGCTTTCCCAGCTCCTCTTCCTATGTTCCTGTAAAACCTTATTTTTGAGGCTTAGCAGTTGGTCCCTTATACTTGTTGCTTTCTAACATTTTGCCTCAACAAACACTGATGAAGTCCTACAACATAATTAGACTGCTAATATTACAAAATTCTGGAATGCGTGCTTACCTTTACAGATACATGAATAGTGGAAGGGGCTATTGGCCTTACAGGTCACTCTCTCACGGGTGTTTTTTTTCTTTTGTACCTAGTTTTTCTTGAAAGTATAAAGCTGAATAACCAAATCATGTTGTGAATAACCAAATCATCCCTAGTTAGCATGCATAGAATGAAGTGCTTGAAAAACTACTTGTTAGCAAGAGTATTCAGACTTTAGTCAAAACAGTTAGTAGACTTAGACTTTAATTTGAAAGAAAGTTGTTCAGTTTGTATCTGAACAGCTTTAGACGTGACAGGAAGCTTCTTGGTTTCAGCTTTTCTGCTGAAGCCACTGAAGGAACTGGCACTTTTGATAAAGATGAGTTGTAAGAAGAGTAATGAACTCTTGATCTTCTTCTGTAAGCTATAAGCTCTGTGAACTCTAGATCTGCTTCCTTCCATTTCTTGCTCTTGATGTGTGCTGTCTTGCTTCTGAATGCCCAGTATGCAACCAGTACAGCTGACATGCAATCTGGAATAATTCTTTTCTTCACATTGCTGATGATACTAACATGCTTGTGTGATCCATTTGGGAAGACTGTGGTGTGGTCTGTTTGAATAATAGCTGCCAACGCTGGGTTATGCTGCTTTGACTACTTTATCCAACTTCTTCTTTTTTAATGTGCACACACCCAAACTACAAACGGCTATGTCAGGAGGAAACTGTGTTTCAGTGAAATCAGTGGGGGCTGCATGGGTAAATCCCTTTGAAAATGCAGGTATGTCTATAGACTACCATTAAAGAAAATTATGATGACGTATATTTATATT